AGTAAAACTAAGCTCAGCCACAAGATCAAGAGAGAAAGTATCTGAAGTGATTACTCACTGTGCTTGCCTCCACTGTAATAAATGGCAGCTGCTGAGAGCTGCAATCTTGAATGACCGGCCCACTTGAAGAATTGCAGCAAGCCTGGGGCACAGCATCTCTTCACATGGCCCCTCTCTAAAGGCCCTCTTTGGCTGCAGGCCAAGAGATGTTTTGCTGCTTTGACGCACAAAGTGCCAGCACAGTCACCTGGGTCTGCTTTCCAGGGCTAGTGCAGAGGCCAGCTCTGGCCAGGCTCCCTCCAGGTACCACTCAGCTGACACCAGACTGAACTCCTGAGCCCAGCAAGGCTCACAAGGGTCAGGCTACCAATTGTGTGCTGCTTCCACCTCTTGCAAAGTCTTTGGGGCACAGGGCTGACCCTATTTCTGGATCCAGGATCATTCAGCTAGGCTGTGTTTTCCTGGTAGAAGGACCTTTGAGAGGGTGTATCCAAATATTTAAAGAGCAGGAGCAGATCTTGAGCTAGACCCATGATTTTATGGGAAGTTAATGGAAAGAGCAGATCCAGTGTGCCCTGTTCAGTAAAATCTTAGCAGAGTACTGAAATGGATGTTGGTTTTAGTGGCTCCATAGCTGGGGATAAATCCCTTTTCTTTGTCAGCTTTTTTCTCTGAATATTTTCTCTGATTTGTTTCATTTGTAAGCTTTGCAGGGAAGATCTTTGGCCATGTGTTTTACAAAGGCACCCTGAACTCTAGTTGCTAAGGGGACACAAAAAAGCACTTTCTTAATGGCATGTGGAATTTGAAAAATTAGCTATTTGGTTGTAAGCATCCCTTTCTTTCCTCTGGTTTTTGCAATACGTGAATTCATCAGGCTACAGCCACACTGCTGGCCAAGGGGCAGCAGGCAGTGAGCTGGCTGAACTGATGTGTCCAGACACACTGGCTAAGACCAGCAGTGCTAAGAACAGGGTCTGTCCCAGAAGCAGGACAGCATACTCTTCCCACAGGCTACTAAGCAAGTAAACCCCAGACTGACTGAATATCTAGCTAAATTCTTCTGGTTTACCTGTTCATTTGATTATTCACACTGCCCTTAAGCATTTAAATTCTGTGACCACCCATTTTTCCCACATAAAGTCATGTAACAGTCACCCTGGCTGCTCCACTGGAGCATCACAGAGACTGGTCCAGAAGGTTTCTCAGAGCATATCTAATGTCTCTATAGCACAATGCACATAATTCCTGCACCCATTCCCCTTAAAAAAACTGTCAGAATTTTGCCTTTCTCCCCCAGGATCTGGCAAAAAAGGATAGCCCTGTCCATATGTTGGCTCTGGGGAGCAGTTCAGCTGCTGTGACTGTGCCCAGATGTGAAGTTCCAGCCTGTGGGACTCTGCACTGCACCTTGAGTCAGAAATTTACTTGTCTCCATTTTCATTAAAAAAAAACTTATATAAATGCCTGCACTTGTTGAGGAACAGAACACTCCCCCCATGCCTTTTTTTTTCCCCACTGAAAAAAAATGTGAAGTCTCATACTTCAGTTACATTCTGATCAGACAATAATGGACAAATTTCTTAAGGGTCAGCATAGTTTTTCTTAATGGAGATTGATTCTTATTAGTGGTAAACAGAATATTATTTGTCATTTGGATGTCAATTTATGTCACTAACAGATTAACCTTTCAATATTCCTTCTGAAGCTGCCTGCAACTGAAAGCAACAGTGGAATTTCAGACATGCAAAAAAGCATCGGAAAAAAAAACAAAACCAAGCATGCAACATTTAGACACATACGTTAATAATTTTCTATGTTGCTTTTCCTTTGCACTTCCAAAAAATAAAGGAGAAAAGGGAAAAGCCAGCCCTGTGCATTTCCATTTTCCGTGTAGCCTGCTGCAAAAAGCATAATTAATTTTGATCTTTCTGAGTGAATTTGCATTTAAATTAATGTGCGTGGGCAAAGGAAGGGAAAGGGAATGAGGCTCACCTTTTATTTCATTAATACCAGCCACAGACCAGAATACAGAGAAACAAGAAAATAGGTATCCTGACAAGCATGGAGCTGGAAGGAACTTAACCTTGGGGGTCTGCCCTTCATCAGTGCAGGGAGGTGAGGGGGAGCTGAGCACGTGGTGCTGCGCAGGGCTGGCCAGGACAGCAGTGGGACCCCCATGGGGCAGTGTCACTGCAGGGCTGGCCCCCTTGCCCTGCCCTCACTGCCCCTGTGGCACAGTCACACCCTGCAGGGTGGCAGGGCACGGTCAGTGCAGCTGGGCTCTGCCTAAGGGGTTTGGGGAGTCTTTGGACCAGGGACCCCCAGGCAGAGCCACGTCTGTCACGCATGCACTGTAGCAGGGCTGGGTGTGCTTTGCATTCGCAGAGAAGTCATGTTCTGGCTCTGAAATGCCAGCCCAAATTAAAAGAGAGATGAGTCATTTATGCCAGGTGAGGATCTCTATTCTGGTAGTTATCATTGCCTTTGATCTCCACAAGTCTGGAAAGGCTAACAAAGATAATTGTCCAGGTATCAGGGAATGTGAGACCTTGAACAGGATTCTCTTCCTAAATATGAGCTCTGTCAGTAAAGCCTTCCCATGAAGGGCAACACAAACCTGAGAAACTGCACATTAAGGAACATACATTTGCCAAACTAAGTATGTGTTTCAGGGATGAAAAATACCCTCCCTTCTCTATCTTCTTGTCCATAATTTGGCATGGGATTTCTAAAAGCACAGGTTAATATTTGGTGGTTTATGGAATCGTTTGCTGTCTATCTCAATCCATAAATGCTCAAGTATCTCTGCTGGTGTGGAGTTGCCAGCCCAGACAAGGTTTTCACTGGCAGCAAAGCAGAGCATTTAAACACAGGTATCTGTCCACCCTTGTGGTCTCAGGAAACACAGGCAGTAAGATATTAAGGCCTGTTTTAAAATGTTCATTTTAAAACCTCTGTTCATGCTCGTCCCGTGCCAGGTTCTGAGGGAACAAACAGTGCTGTGCCTTGCAGTGTCATAGATATGCTGTGCTTCAGGACACTGATAACACAGGTCACTGCTCCCTCACTTCAGAAAGCTCTGGTGTGACTAGCACCACAATCAGCATGGCTGCTGAGTACATTTAGGTAGCAGCTCTCCACAGAGCTGCAAGAGGGACAGAGAGCAGAGGACTGGTGAGGTCATTGATTCAACAGGCAGTGATGTTTGCCCGCTGCCTGAATGCACTCTGGTGCCAATAAATGTTACAGCACGACTGGGGCCCTGCTGGTTTTATATTCCAACATCAGAAAGTACACAGTGGTCCAGCAATCACAGCTGATACAGGAAAGATGGCTCAAGAGCTTATTTGTGCCTTTCCCACTGATGTACTGGGCATAATCCTACCCCAGGCTCTAGCTGTTTCTTTAAAAGCATTCCACAGTCAATTAGCTAATAAAGTATGCTAAATAAGTATAATTTTCTTTCAATATTGACTATCCAGGGGATGTTGCTTTCTCCAGCCACTAAGCTAATCAGGATGCTTTTCCCTGCTGACTCCCAAAGCAGTGTGGTTTTGTATCTAATGGCCACACCAATGCCATCAACAATTAACTGAGTGCATCTGAATTGACATGATTTCGTCCTCAGAACAAATTAACGTCCCATAAATTCATTGGTAAATTCACCAACTTAATTCACCAAATTAATCCCCACTAACAACAGGGCTAAACTGTAATTTCTCCAGGAGCAGTGAGAAAAAGGCAGCAGAGATCTGCTCTGGCAGCAGATCAGACACTAGCATGGGAGCCAGAGGCTGTCATGTTCCTGTCTCCTTCCTGGGAGAAGTTTATTAGGGCTGGTTTAACTCCCCCATCCCACCACTTTACTTAGGTTGTGGAAAGGCTTTTGTACCTCAGAAGCACTGCTGTGAGGCTTGAGGGAACCTTATCACTCTCTAGAACTTCCTGAAAGAAGTGGTAGGAAGGTGGGGGTCAGGGACTTCTCCCACGCAACCAGTGATAGGATGAGGGGACCTATCCTCAAGCTGAGCCAGGGGAGGTTCAGGCTGGACATCAGGAGGAATTTCTTCATGGAAAGTGTTCCAAACATTGGAATGGACTGCCCAGGAAGGTGGTGGAGTCACCATCCCTGGAGGTGTTCAAGAAACAACAGAACATGGCACTCAGTGTGGTGGTCTAGTTGACAAGGTGGTGATCTGTCAAAGGTTGGATGCAATGATCTCAGAGGCCTTTTCCAACCTAAAAGTTGATCAGCAAAGTGCTTTTCCACATCTTTACAGACACAGCTCATTAGGGACTTGATTGTGGTGATACAGCTTGGTGAGTTTTCATTCTCATAGCTGAGGGATGATGGTTCATCCCAATATATACGGCAAACAAGTCATGGCCTTTGAACACCTCAGCTGCTTCCCCTCTGTAAATGTGATAGACACAGCTCATCCAGATTGTTTGTGCACTCTGAACCTGCAGTCTAATGGCTGAACATAAAAAAAAATATTGCCTTCACTAGTATGCATTTAATCCAGAGCAACATACCAGTATAACTCACACATCATTTGTTTCAGTGGTGAGTAATTTTCAACAGCAAATATATTCAATATCATTGAGACTTGGGGACAATTTAGGAAGAGGAAAAACTCTGCTACATTATTTTTACTGTGAATCATTTGTTCACCTTCTTGTTTTTGATGCATTGCTTTCATTAACTTGAAACAGTTGCAAATACCGAATTTTGTTTGAAAGCTTTCTTATTTGGATTGCTCTTAGGGTTTCTTTCACACCATGCACAAATAAGAAAATAAAGACAGAAACAGACTACAGATATGAGAGAGGGCTTGCATCTAAACGCATGCAAAACAAACCACTATCACAGGGTGAGATCTTTCACATGAAGTTCTGAACAGCTCTCCTTGCTCTTGTGCTCTCCTGACCCTCCCCCTGGAATTGCAGCTACTTGTTACATCACAGCTCTTGGACCCACAGAAGAGAGGGGCTGCAAAAGTACATCCAGGGAATCCATGAGGATTGGGGAAAGTGGCGGAAAGTCTGAACTTAGAAGCCAAAGCTGCTGCCTCTTCTCTAGCCTGTCTAGCAGAGATGACACCATAGAACTTGCCATTTATTTCTCTTGTCCTGAGAAGTTCTTCAAGTAGGTAGGTTCCTCTCACTCTGTCAAGGGAGATTCACTTCCTTATCTGTTATAAGGTAACAGTTATCCAGTGGCTGTTGGCTGTCTTTCACAAGAATTCCTGGGACATTTCATACACATCCATTCCAAGCAGCTCTTTGTAAGAGAAGCTGTTGGACCTCTCAGTAAAGCCATGTCCCAACTTAGGTGTTCAAAAGTGCAGGGACTCCTGTGAAAAACCTGATGTAGATGCTGAGCACATTCACAGCCTCAGGTGAACTTGACCCTGCCTTAATCAACAGACACCTGTCTTATTAATGGACATGAGAATCTTTTCACACTAATGAAGGCCCACTGGGGCTTTTAGCCTCCTGCGTTCCTTGAATGAACATTAAGCCCACGAGTCTGCTGAACACCAGGTTAACGCTGGAAATGAGTCTGTTCTTCAGAGAAAAAACATTAATATGTGAGTTTAAATTGATGTAGGAGCAGTTTTAAACCCAAAACTACTTGGGCATCTTCTTTTTACAGTTGAGTAGGCCTTAGTTCCTCAAGACTGAATATTCCTAGGGCCCAGATTACTTCTATAGGGCCTTCTACTGTAATTTTCTCAGTTGTTCCATAAGAACTAATATAAGACACATTGTAAATAATAACAGGCAATTCTGGTAAACAAATTTTGATGTTTTTTCATTTAGATCTGTCAATTAAATCTACTGTAAAGTCAAGAAAAGCAAAGAATCAAGCTATGAAATTTCCTTTTCTTAATGAGGCATTTAAATAGCATCTCACATTTGTTCTCCAATTGTTTACATAGGATGTCATTTGTGATGCATTGTTGGAGCCCTGTAAATCTCAGCTGGGAACAATATCCCAGAGAGCAGAGGGGGACAGTTCTGCTTCAAGCTATATCTCAATAGATGCCTTTTCTTTTATTATGTTACTCATCTGTAATCCTGCTAATGAAATGCAATAATATCAGATGCAGCAGCTGTCAAAAAAGAGAGAAATAATGGGAATTTTCATTAAACTCTTTCAGTTGATCTTCACTTTTCCCATTGCTGATTTAAATATTGCTGGTTTTCTGAAGGTCATCTTATTTCTGTAAGGATTTAATGGATAGTCTGGCTTTTGTGTTTTAGAGACCTTACTCCCTCTGGTTCAATAGGTCATTAAACATATATTTAAGTCATTCTTTGTCCCAAATGTTTCTTACAGGATCACAGCCAAAAGAGACAAAAAATGCCAAGGTGGATGAAATGCAGGTTAATTATTCTTATTTTATAGATGAGAAAATGAAGCTCAAAAGGGAAGAAATGTCTAGTACACAACCAACCCCTGTCAATAGCATGACTCCCATTGGTCAAGTCTGAAAGACCTAAGTCTTAAACATCACATTCATTTCAGCATTAATCAGGAGATTTCAAAACTCCTAGGGGACCTTCTGGCTTTTATGATTATCTTTTGAAGGCCAGCATCTTTTAAGCATCTGTCTCTGAAAGTCTTGTTTAAAGTTCTCTGTGCCCTGCTTCTAAATCAGCTTGGTGAGCCAAACCTCCACCATGCTAATTTAATAATAAAATATTTTTTGCAACTGTGTACGTATTTCAGAAAGTGAAACATCATGGACACCTGATCAGATGCTTTTCAGACTTTTAGTGTCTATTTCTCCACAACTTTTAATGAGATTCAAGTGCTCAGCAGAGAAATGAACTGCAGATGCCTGGTCTGGTGCTCCCTCTCACTGTTGTTATCTCAGAACCCCAGCTAATAATGTCCAAATGCAAAATATGGGTCTTAGCAGTGCCAAGAGGCACTTGTAGGGCTTTAATGGGAGGCTTATGACCGCAGCTCAGGATGCACAACAGTGTCTGTGAAGTGCACAGAACCTTCTGGAGGGCATATGGGCTCCAAGCATTGTCTATCCCTCTTGGAACATGGCCAGAATTGTTTTTTCTGTAATTCCAACACAGAATTGGGTGTGGGTTGTGTGGTGCCTGAGTATAAGGTAAATCTTCATTCACTTTGAAGATTCAAATCATGAGGTTAACTCAGTTTGGCTTCTCCTTTCTTTTAAGAGTGTTAGGTCAATGATGCCATTCTCATTTCCTGACTGGCTGTTGCAAAGGACTGAAAAAAATTCCCAGCTTTCACATGAGGGCTTCAATTATTCTGACAGCCAAGCCATAAATTCAGGTCACATGAATCTGTACCAGCAGACAAGACTCCTGTATTTTGTATAGAAAGATTAACACAGATAAGCTGAGAGGAGGTCGTCCTCCTGATGCCTCTCCCTGCACAGCATAGAAATTAAGGTACTGGATGGGCTGGTCTTGTGACTAAAACCCCATCCTGAGGCAAGAATTTGGGTCCCTGTTCTGACAGGCACGTGCTGCACAGGCAGGAGGCAATTTACTCATGGATGATATCTCTGATTGTGAGCTGGGAAGGAAGAGGGTAGCAACCAGTTTGAATTTTGTGGCAGGAGTTGTTGCTTACTTTGTGCTTAGAGCTGGGAAGCAAAAAGTAAAGAATTTCAGAAGATAAAAGCCTCACTGTGGCAGTAACAAGAAATTCAAGGAGTTTCTAATAAACTGGGTTGTATTGACAGGCACAGAGAAGTAAAAAGATCTTAGAGTTGTGTCATTTGAGGGATACGGAAATTCATCAGGAACTAGCATCCTATTGATCTCTGCTGTGTGACTAAGACAAAAGAAAAATAAATTATAAATATAGTATGGAATAAATACCATGCTTCCTCCTAATCCAGTAATTTCCATTTACAAAGTCAACACAGATGAATGAGCAATTTACGCTGATGAAATCACCGTACTTCTTAGTGCCCATTTGTAATAACTGCCCATCCCCAGTGATTCGTTCATTGTGTGATTTCCAATTGAGTTATTATGAATGCAGAGAGGGGAGAATTTATCAAAAACAATAGCTGGATGTGAATGCCAACCCAATGTGCTCTGAGAATCCATACTGGGGATGTAATGCTGGGCCTCTGAGCTCTGCAATCAGATGCCTGCACAGCAGGATATTGTCTGTCCTTTGGAAAACTCCTTCATATATGGATTCTGGGCTAGTGTGAACTACTTAGGACACAATCAGGGAGGAAAGAGTTTGAGATCTGATAAGAGCTATAGACTTTGTAGCTGTCTTTTTGTCCGGGGAATGTGTCCAGCTCAAGGTGGTTCACGGTGGGATCAGATCATTGCCCTCTTTCAAATATCTTGGCTTTCTCAAAGCCTGATCTCCTAATATAGGACAGAAGAAAGATCCCTCTGGAAGGCTCTGTGCCCTAGATATAACTTATTTGGGTCTCTTTAGTTTTTGAGACACACAGCTGATTGACAGGCCAAGACTGTGAAGTCAACTTTGCTGAGCCATAAATAGCATAATTCAGCTTCTCTGAGTCCCCAACAGATGTATTCATCAGGCACATGAGTCTCTCCAGGCATCAAAATTGACAGATTTCATTAACTTTCTGCAGCCTGAGAATCCAGCTGTAATAGACAGTGTGGAGAAATCAGAGGAACTGCAGGTTCTCAGCAAGACTGTTATCAGACAGTCCTGATTATACAGAGCCGCTGGGCAAGGACTGGCTTAGCAGTCACCACTCTCCCTGGTACTGCTCCTAATGACTAATCCCCACAGCATCCTTTCTCACCTCTCTGAGCCTTGCAGTTTAACATCACAGCCAGCCTCCAGAAGGGAATTACGTGATGCAGTACAGTCATCCTTTCCAGCAACAGCTCTGCATCCCACTCTCGTGTGTCAACACAGGCCTGGCAAAAAACAGCTACTGCCGATGCCCTTGCTATTGGAATCCTGCTACTAGATTTCAGGTGTCATGAAAACCAGAAAAGTTGCACATTCAGAGCATGAAATCCTTAGTAGCCTTTTTAGAAAGGGGAAAAGTACTTCCTCCACTAAAGAATTCATTTTAGTACTCCTTGTGCCTTGAGCTGTGCTCACAAAGCCTGCCTTGTGATTTCTAAGCAATAGGAGATTCTCCTCCTTGCTCTTCACCCTGTCAGCTCGACTTCTGCTGTTCTGTGTTTTGAAGATCTGCTTCGGGGTTCTGGGTGAACAAGAACCTGTTGGTTTTAAAATGCTGCTCTCCCTGCAGCTGCTGAGGACTGAGCTGAGCACTGCTGATAGGCAACCGAGGCTAAAAGTGCAGTAACAGGCAGTAAGAGGTCATTTTGAAAAGCGAAGGAGGGATAATATGCCCAGGGAAAAGAATTGTGTGATGTGGTACTTATGCTTATGTTTGCCTTCTGAGACTGCATCTCCTTGCATTAGGCAATAAACCTCTTACTCAAGCACCTGGAAGTCAGTGGGAGTGTTTGACAGGCTTGGTGAAATGGTGTGGTGGAAGGGTGGAAGTCTCTGACCCGCCTCTGTGCAGGCAGTCAGGCAGGGTGTGCTCTGACCAAGCGGTGTGCAGGGTGACAGGATCTGCAGGCTGCCGGCTCTCCCATGGCTCCTGGGATACAGGCAGGATGAGAGCCGTAGGCAAAACCTGGCAGATGACTCCTAACACACTGCCTTACTGTAAAGAGGAGGCTGAAAGAGAGATTGGTCCCATCATGAAGAAGCACTGGTTTTTTCCTTGTCCTCTCTCTAGAGAAAAGCAACAGAAAATATTTCAGCAGCATTCCAGGGAACATGGCTCCCAGGATCACTACAGAAATACCTGTAAGGAGCAGTTATAAGATGGTATAGCAGGATTCTAAAGTTTCATATTGTTCAGAAATTATGCTGTTTATTCTTGAGTGCCATCTACTGACAATTCCTGTCTTAATGGCTTGCTTTCATTGATATCGCTGATTATAAATGCCCTATATAACTTCTGTTAGCTTTGATGTTCTTTATTCCTTGAGCACTTTCTTTCCCTCTGCAGACCAGGATACCCTTGAAATGATGTTTTCAGTTATCTCTTGGACTTCTCTTTTCCCTTCCACCCATCACCAGGCTTCCTCCCTTCCCTGCCTGCTCCTTCTGCCTAGAGGGCAATTTCTGCCTTCCCTATGCTCACCCTTCTGGCTTCAAAATGTAGCTGCAGTTGTGCTGGCCCCCTTGAGCAGGAGGTTGCCTCTATCAGTTTGTTACAGCACTGCTGAGATCTTGTTTCCCCCTTTCCTTTCAGTTCTTCCTCTTCTTTCAAGACCTTTATCAGCAACTTTCATGTTAACCTTGAAAATATTTAATGATCACTGACTCCACTATATTACCTATTCTAGAGGTATTTTATTTTAGTTATGTGATACTTGAATTAGCATTATTATTACAGTTTTTCATTTTCTATCTGTAAGATTTCCTCCCCCAGCAGTCCAATACATTTTGCAAAGATAAAAATAAATTAAAGGTGAAAAGTTATTGCCAAGGACAAGAGCTCGGGAAGTTTAGCCTACAAGATATTTCTTTCTCCATTGAAAACATAACCTGTATAGATAAAGAAAATGCCAGGTAGCTAACTCATTATAGGCAACTGAGAAAATGGGTCAGGAGACTTCTTTCTCATACACTCAGTTTTTGGCTTGGTTCCATCTCTGCCAGCTAGCCAGAGGAATGAGGAAAATTCTAGTGAAGTTTTCTAATGCATGGCACCATTTTGATTGAGGCTTCTTTGCCTGTGCCTCAGACAACTCCTCATGATGGCCAGTGATGCCCTGACACTCAGCTGCCTCTCAGTTTCAGGCAGAAAATATCAAGCTGTACAAGTGTAGACATTTGCCCACAACATGCTTATATTGTGGAACTCCTTCCCAGAGGGTTTTGCTGAGGTCAAAACTGTAAGTAGGTTCAAAAAGGATTAGACAGATCCATGGTGGGCAGGTGTGGTGTTTGCTATTAAGCATGACAGCCTGGCTCTAGCATCTGTTACAGAAAGCCCCTGTAGACCTGATGGCTGGAGGGGGCTGCAGAAGGGAATCTGCTGTTCTGGGCTGACCCCAGTTGGTGCTGCCAGTCCCCCCATGGGCAGTGGCTACAGCAGCCACAGGGCATGATTAAAAACAGCTTCACTCTGGACAAAGCCTTTGAATTCCCATAAAAATAGCACTTTGTCTTAAACAGTTATTCTCCACTAAGATCCCTGAATATTCAGTGATAGAACTGGGATTCTACCCCTGAACTCAATGCCACAAAAAGCACAAGGTTAGGCCTTCCTGGGGTTGTTTCAGCAGAGAGAGTTTTGCTGAAGTGAGGGCTGAGGAGTATTTCCATATTTGCTCCTGGACTTCTAAATCCATATTCTGCCTTTTGTATAAGCACACATCCAAACTAATATTTGACTAACTTAGAAATTACTTATCAGTAAGATAGCACGTGTCACTTGCATCTAATTTCTTTTATTTTAATGACTAACAGCCTGTGCTGCAATTCATAATCCAGTCTCTTTCCTCCTTTCTTGAATCAGGCAGCAAAACCTGATCAGTGACAGAGATGATGCTTGTGAAATTGCTGCACAGGGGTTCCTTTCACTGAAGGGCTGACAAGATACCAGCTGAGGAGAAAGCTTAATTGCATGGGTGATCAAAGGAGAATGTATGAAGACAGGGAGACTGTAAGGGGGTGTGCGTAGGAGTGTGTTTTAATGAGAGATTATAGGGAAACATGTGAGTCTGGCACACACAAAATGACAGAAATGAATGCATGAGCTAGTACAAAATAGCATGCTAACCAAAGGCATCCACAGATCAGCTTCAGCCCCTTCTCAGCCCTTGCCTAAGAGAACTGTATTCTATTATCTGTCATCCCACTAACTATACAAAGAGAAAAAAGTGAAGGTTTGATCTTTGCAGCTGGGAAAGGAGGTGGCGGAGGGGGAACCTCATGAGACAACAACATCCAGGCTGAACTGGAAAAGAGAGATCAAAGCACTGAGCTGAACTGAGAAGAAAGGACACAGGACACTGATATGGTGTACTCTCAGGAATGGGATGAATTGACGTAAAAAATGAGAATTTAAAAAGCATTGAAGACACTTGGCAGCCCTTGCATGGGCTGTAACACACTGCACTGACAGAGGTTTGGTTCATGATGTGCACTGTGCTTCATTGTACACTTACTGTCTTACTTTATACTCAGCTCCACTTGCATCACTGGGGGTACTTGAGGAGTAAGATGCCTCTTAATATCAAAACAGGTGCTATTAAAGTGGTCTATACACAATCTCATATCATTTTGGCCCAAATCCATTAAAAACCTCATTATAGTTATACTGGCATAAACCTCTGTGCCAGTGTTCTCCAACTGATTTAAACTGCATCAATATAAACCCAGTTTCAATTGATTTAAGAGATTCTAGGCAGAAGTGCACTGCATTTGACAAACTGATGGGAGGACATACCCTTATTGAAATATTAAAACTTCTGCACTCGATCTTATCATATTCAGCAGTGTGGCTTTTGAACTTTTGCCATTTTGTATTTTACAAGCCCTTACAGAGAGGGAAAATAAGTAACTTTAGAGCAGTCAGGTTAACAGCCATTCACTTCATCAACAGAACCCGTGTGCAACCACAGATGCCTTAAGCTTTAGTGTTTTATAAAACTATAAGGACACAGGAGAAGCATAATGCTTTTTCGACTTACCCTACTCTGAACTCAAGCATATTAGTGGCTGACAACCTTTTTTTTTCTTTTTTTTCCTGTAAAAAGCATCTAGCCTTTAGTTGAACACACCCTGTTTTTATGTTTTTATTATCTAATTTTTTTTATTAAATAAATATTTTTTTTATTATTTAAAAATAATGAAAGCTCAGTATCTAAGATGCCATCCACTAGACCAGGTTGCTCAGTGCCCCATTCAACCTGGCCTTGAATCCTTCCAAGGACATGATATCCACAGCTTCTCTGGGCAGCCTGTGCCCATGCTTTGCCACCTTCACCATAAAGAATTTCTTCCATGTATCTAACCTAAATCCAGATGTTATTTAATCACTCTCAAGTTCCCCTCTACAGCAGCTTTCTGGTCCACATGGTGAACCATTCTACTGTTATTGAAGTTTATCCAGTATAACACTGAGAGAAAAAATGCTGTGCTGGTCTTGAAATGACACCATGTAATGTTAAAAACAAGATAAAAACGACTGCCCCTCATGTGCTGGCAGTGATAAATTATGCAGTTCTCTCCTTCCAGTCTCTCCCATCTGCAACAGCTACAATAGAACCTTAGTTCAAACACTATTCTTATTGAGCGCTGGAGCTGTCAGGCTAGTCTCTGCTTTTGTGTAAGATTCATGAAAAATAAATTTGACAATTTCTCTAAGTGAAAGGCCTCTAACCATGTCTCCAGCCTGGTAACCACAGTACTTACATGCTTTGTGAAATTTGTGTTTCACATCAAGAAGGGTAGATGCTGGAGATACCTGGAAAAGAAAGCAAAATGCATGCAGGTTAGTTTTTCTTTCTTCTTCACTTTGGGATCCCTTCTCCACTCCTCTAATGAAGAGATGTTTAAATTTGTCTGCAAGCCCTTCAGGCTAAAATGCAAAAAAAATCAGCAAGTTTGTTTTCACAGGTTGGTATATTATTAAGGATTGTTCAAATTTGACTTATACATCACATGGACCACCTCTGCTTGGTCAATGGAAGGGTAAAATCACAAGGGTCAAGAGGGAAATCTGCTGGCCCTGTCTGATGCAATAATTGCTCCCTAGATCAAACCAGTAGGAAAACTTGAAGGGTTCAGCTTTAAAATTAGGTTCAAGCATGCTGAGGTACGTGTCCTAGAGACATAGAAGGGTTCTCTGGAGAGGGCAGTAGCAAAAGTGGTAGGTTCTGCTCTTTCTGCCTGAAATGAATTTGCCTCTGCATGTTTTTGTTCATGTGCACTGAAACAATTCAAGTGTTACAGTTTTAGAGGGCAGTCTGGAGGCTTTTTAGGCTTTATTTTATTATGTATATTGATTTCTTAATATACTTTGTACAAATTACCTGAGAAGGTACATTTAGAACTTACTAAAGCAAAATACTTAGATTTGCCTTTTGTTTAGAAGGAAAGGCAATGGGACTCTTGAGGAAGTAGCATGTTGAGCTACTTATTAGTGGATTGTGACAATAATCATGCAAACGAATAGAGAACTTAACAAATTCTCCTAGTAGAGACCACTTAGTACCTTAATATAGGTCGTTCTGTTGAAAAGACTGAGTTTGGAGAAATACTGATGCAACAAAATAAAACTGCTGACTCTAAAGCAACCAATCAGTACAGAAAGAAAAGTTTATTCTTATGTAATTTGACACCCCACACAAATATACAATATATGTGCTATTAGTGCTTATGAGTAACACAACTTGCTTTCAGTAATATGAACAGGCAGAGAGCTCAATACAGATTTCAGTGATATAAAAATGTAAAATGACACCTGTGCTAAAAGGTAGTAAAGTACAGATCTTTTCTAAGATTTTTCTTGGGTATAGATGAGAACACTTTATTTTCCACAGTTACAGAGGGTTTTACTGGGTATTTACAGAAACTGCTGTAAATGAAATTCCATTTAAACCCTGACTTGTCTCTCTGATGTGGCTGCTAAGCAATGCCAACTCCAGCTAAATCAAGGCCTAGGCTCCTTGAAAGCAAGGATTACCCTTTCCCTGTCCCCAACACCTGTGTTGGCCCAAACCATGCTGAACCTTACTAGGCCAGGCAAGAGACACTGCCCTTGGAGACCCTTTCCTTCCTAGCTACAGGAACAACAGAAGAAGCCATTTTATCTTTCTTAGTTTAAAAAGGAAATAAAATATTTTATATGTGTTTATTGCACTTAAGCCATTCCATGCAACACCCAGTAGAGCAGCACATCTCCCACCGTCTCCATGTATTTTTCTTGTCATGTGTGCAACCTCTGTGGACTTGAATACTGGAGCTGGGGGGGGTTATGTTCTCAAAACCTCTAAAAATGTCTGAAATTGCTTTCTCACACTTTGTAGTCTCACACCTGTGAGGTCTGGAGCCCAGAATCCACCAGATACGGTGCAAGCACTGTTAGCTGGCAACACCTATTCAGCATAAAAGTCTGCAGACCAAAATCTGTCATGTGTCCTAGCACAGGGCAGATGGGCAGGTATTCAGGGCTGGCATTGCCAGCTGAAGGATGGGGATGGTCTTTCCCAGTTGGATGGAGGATGAGATGGCCTTCTAAATGAAGTATAAGTCACATTGCTGCAGGGCCTGCAGATCCCTACAGATCACTGTGACAGGTTCTGGGATGGAGCAGCTAGGGCCAGCCCACGCTCTGGAGAGCTGATCAACTGATTTAGCAAAGAAAGCTGAAAAACTGTAAAGCTTAGCATGCTTACAGAGCAGGGCTTGCTCAAAACAGAGCCCAGGTCTCTATCTCCAGCTCTCCTGAGTATGTTTTGACTTCAGGGCAGAGCTGCTCTCAATCTGTTCAAAATGTCTAGCCCAGCCCTTGTTAGCAGCTCTACCTTTACATCCCCCTCCCTTTTCTCATCCTGAGACAATCAGTGCTTTCTCCCCTCCAAATCTTGCTATGGCAGCAATGGGATTTGTATCACCTAACTTCAGCTGTTTAAAAAATTAATCTAAGCTCATGTTTTAGGTCTACCTGTGGAACTACCCACCTGCCTCAGGTGTTTAAAAGCTACAACCTGCTTGCAGTGTCCTGCTGTGCCCCAGGAAGCTGTGAGTGTGCCGCTGGGGTGTGAGGAGCAGCATCCCACACCATTCCCCACCAGCAGCAGCTGGAAGGGCTGTGCTCTGTACATCCCTGAGCAAGGCAGAGCTCATGAGCAGTGCACCGCTGTGCCTGGCTGCATCCAAGCTGCTTTAGGCCAGAGCTGGTTTGAGCGCTGCCAGCCGTGCCCGGAGATGTGCTGGGCTGGAGAGCGGTCTGGCAGCTCTGTGCGGCTCTGCACAGGCTGCGGGGACCTGGGAGGGAGCAGAGCTCACATCCAGCCAGGAGGGCAGCAGGACACTTGTTCCATGAGCCAGCTGCCTTCGAGAAGGACCCTTCCACTTGAGACAAACTACACAGGTCGTGAGCTGAAAAATAACACAAATACTTTCCCACTTCAGAATGGGCCGTGACACAGAAGAATCGCGGTGTCCTTTCCCAGGCAGAATAATGAGGCTATAGCAACAAAAGAATGAAATACATTTTTTTATGATCTTGATAATTCTGTGTCCTTTTTTAAAGACCTCATGAAACAACCAGTGAAGTTATAGTTTCTAATATTGATCAATGAGAAGATGGATGCTGAGACACCAGCTTACTACTAAGAGTGTCCTCTTGGTAGACCATTAATTATCTTTTGTTCTTTTCACTGTACATCAATACAAGCTAAGGAATTGTAAGGACCGGGAAAGCATTTTCTCTTATTACCCTTTGTGCTAACTGAATAAAACACCCTGGAATATTTCACTGTAATTATTAGTCTCACTCTCCTTTCATTCTTTTGAGTTATGTCTGAAAGTGTTAAAACCCTTTCTTTCCTCTATTTCAGCACTTTACAAATATGCAAAGGCAAGGCAGAGTGAGAGACCACCATTAGTCTGTTTAAAGCAAGATGGATTTCTGCTCTAGGTTGGTATGTATCTTCCACAGTCTGATGGTCAAGCCAGTTTTTCCCTTATTCACTTTTAGTCTAACACCTGATTTAAAGTGTAATCAACTTTCCAATAAGTGACTGTCATGTGTAAGGTACAAGACTACCTTTTTTTCTAAATGTTATGAATAAGTGCATATTTTACAGCTGTGGGTTGCAGTCATTACACTTTATATTCAGAAAAGGATGACTTCAAAATGTCAAATCCTGCTTTTCCTGTACTTTCACAGCCAGAAAACTTTAACTTTTCCATTTGAGGCAACTTTTCTAACTTTTCCATTTGAGGCAACTTTTCATTTACAGGAATTCAAGAATTAAAGGACCTCCTGGGTCATCCATACCAGTTCTGTTCTTCCTTCAGACACCAATGCACAAAGCATCACACTTCTTTTTAGTATTTAAAATACCAAATTAGTATTTTATGCTATGACTGAAGTTTGAGCACTAAGTGGAAGATATTAAGGGAACTTAATACTGCCTTTTAGTATTTTATGCTATGACTGAAGTTTGAGCACTAAGTGGAAGATATTAAGGGAACTTAATACTGCCTTTTGTTAGTGCAAGCTAATCAGATAGTTATCCACTTTCATACCTCTTTCACATTTATAAATCAAGGAATTATGCCAAATCTGGTGATCTGTATGTAACTGCATCACTCAGTACTTGCACTAAAGAACTATTGTAGGGGTCAGAGATCAGCAGAATATCAATAAGAATATGAAGAATAGAATTTCAGCAAAGAAGTAATCTTTCATTCAACATTTCTCTCTGAATACTTTTTTTCTCTTCATGACACGTCAGTACCACTGCACTGCTGAGTCACCTGCTTTGTAACAGGAATTTTCCATAATTGCAGAAATTCAGAAATTCTGCCACTCCACTTGCTCATTAAGCACTGCCCCATCTTCAGCAGGGTAAATTTGTTCAAAAGGGTGACATCACTTTATTGCAGCTGAGGATCTGGCTGCAAAACAGATAACCAGCTAATGGGAAATTAGGTAATTTCCAAATTCAGCACTCAACAAATACTTCATCATTACTGCTTACGCACCCTGTCCTTGTTATGGGACCTTGCTGTATTATAAGAAGCCAGCAGCATTCCACAGAAAGTTAATTAGAAAAACACCTGCTCTAGCTGGTCTCAAATTCTGTGAATTTGACTTCTAGATCAGATTGGCTCTTTCTTTTTGTCAAAGTCAGAATTAAAAACTGGGCACTGTTCTGTTTTAACCTTTCCCAGTGTGTCCCATGCTGCTCTCTTGGTGAGCCAGTGTGCTGGTCATGCCCAAAGAGATATAAATAAATGAGCTCACCATGGAAATGACATGGAGGTAATTGCATACAGACAAGTGCTGTCAGCAGCTACACAAGGGCTTTCTCTGGAATCCAGTATTTTACTCAGTAGGCTGCAGTGAAGTGGCTACCAAACAGCTGGCTCTGACCTCCATCCAGCCTTTCTGAAGCAGGAGACATTGTGAATTATGGTTTGAGCTGAGGTAGTTTCCAGCACACCTACGTAAGTAGAGGGCTGTCTCACTGAGCAATCTTCCAGATTATTATCTGGTCACATGAACCTTGGCATATGAGATAATCTGGCTGACTAATATTTCCAGTGATTATGGGCCAAATTAGCTAAGAATACACATAACCACATGCTTGCTGTGTGCAGTCATGTCAATTTACACCAGAGCCAAGTTTGGATCTAAAGATGATTAATTGTTTTTGTACTGCTAGTTGGGTATTTCTATTAAAAAAAAAACAAAAACATCTCTCTTTGCAAGAAATTTCCTGAAAAATATCAGACACCAAAAAGAGCTTTTTCTCTCTCTGCTAAAGATGAGAGTGGAAGAGAATGTAATTCACTAGCAGAGAGAAGGTATGCAGAATTCAACATGTACACCTATTTCTGAGCAAATCTGACTAGATTGGTACATCCCCATGCCCTCTGACCTTTTTTTAAGGGGAGCTGAGTAGGTTTATTGTTCATCTCAGCAGCTGAACAGCAGAACCTGTCTCTGTCACAACACTTTTCTGCCAGAGAAATGAAATTTTTATGGCAAAAGCCGGGATGTGTAAATTTGTGTTGACTTCAAATTTCAAAAATGGAATAGAAATGTATAAAAAAAATCTGCTTCTGGCACATGCTGGAAATTAATTTTGTTGTTTTATATTCATTATTTTTGTTTCTCATCTTTATGGAACTTTCATTACTTCTGCATTATTTTATGACACATCTATCGTGATAGTGTAAAATAGTATAACACATGGCTCTCATGTCATTGAAAATAACCCAACAGGAAAAAATATGCAAATAAATGCACTATTAAGTTGTAAAATAAATTGAACTTGAAATATTTAGTGTGTCATAACAGATTGAAATATTTCAAAACTAATTTGTAATGCAATCTCCCAAATTCCACCTCATAAAAAATTCAAGACTCATTTTTTTTACTGTCATTTTCAAAGAAAACAACATTTGAGATATGCACTTAAAATAGTTGACAAAAAATAAAGTAAAATAAACCAGAAACAATGAAATAAACTTCAAAAAATATTTTACTATAAATAACTATAATGCTGTTTTAATGAATATAGTATAAATAATAAAGAATAAGAAACAGCAATTTTGACCCATACTTCTCAGGAAGAAAGTGAGGGTGGTGTTTATGTTTTTGTTGGGATTTTGATTGTCAGTTCTAGCACAGATAAAGCATATGGCTTAGCTGTGCAACCTCTGAATTTATCTTCCCTTTTCTGTCAAATGGCTGTATAGGTTTTTGTTTGCTTTTTTATATCTACACACATGGCTAAAATTAAAAAATCAAGAAGTGCACCCAAGAAACTCAACTAATATTTAGCACAAGATGGTCACAATCTGTTTGGGGACTGCTTGAAGTAAAAAAAAAGCCAAAAGATCAACCAATTCAAAAGAAAATTCACAGAAGAATATATTTTGGCAAATTGAGTGATTCTGTGAGCAGCAGGGCTAATAAAGCAGGTCCGTGGAGGGAAGCTGGAAGCTGAGAAGCAGCAGAAAGGAATGGGAAATTAGGGTGATATATGAGAACAACCAGGCAGCATCAGGTCTGTTAGAAATCCAAGTACTTTTCATTATTCAATACCAAGTGCAATGAAGAGATGCTTGCTGTACTTCTGGTAGAGATTCTCTGACTGCCACAACTTTGTTCTTTTGAAGCACAAAATTGCAGCTGTTAAGGAAGAAAAGCTTGCGTTTTAAGGACTTTTTAAAGTCCAAAATTGCTTAAACATAGGCAGACATAATAATAGCATTAACATATATTGCTGTCTATTTACAGATCCATGACTACATGGCTCAGGTGTTTCGTGAAGAATCACACGTCGGATTTCAGAGAGAACCTGAAGCATGTTCTGATGGAGCAATAAATCACATGCAGGACTATTTTAATGCTAATAATGTCTATAACAGATGCCATTATGCACCTAACTTTCCATCATGGGCTGTGCTGTTAGCTATTAGACTAATAAAACACCTACGGCTCCCTACGGTCCTGTATTGCCCCAGTACATTTATAATTTGCAATAATCTCTGAATTATCTCTGATGCAATAAGGCAAATGTGCAGCTTGGGTAAAATGTAACTTTGGTGGGAAAGAGGGCATTTTCACACTGTCTGGGAATCTGTCTCTACAGATACAGTTTTGGCAATATTCACTGCTCTGGTGGCGTAGCTGGCTTTTGCTGCTGGCCAGAATGTTCAGGAAGAGTTGGAGCACTACAAGTGTCTCACAAATTCACTCTTGTTTTTGCTGAACTTTGAATGCAACTTTAATTTTTTTTTAATATTTATTATATTTACTTATTTATTTCTTCCCCCAGGCTTAGGCTGGTTTTTATCTAAAATAAGAGATGCATAAAACCTGTCATTTAAAGGCACTTCTAAGCTTTGATTAGTATCAGCTGAAGCATTAGTCATCTGTTGAAGCTTCTGTAATTCTTTAAATTATCCCTTTGCAAATGCTAAATGCCCTAAAGTTACCAGATTCTCCCCTCCCCAGTTTCTCTCGTCTAGAAAAATCAAAGGCCATTTCTCCAGGTATTCCATTTAAAAAGCCATCTCACAGCAAGCAAAAAGTAATGTATATAGTTGCCTCTTTTCATCTGAAACCATCTGTAGCTATATTGACATTAAAATTATGTGAATTTCTAGCAGAGCAGGAAAAATTAAGTTCTTTGCTTGCATTGCTACAACACTGCTACAACAGAATTTGAATATGTTTACCTACTTTACCAAGTATAAGTAATAACTGAGGAAGAAAGTACTATTGTCATCAATTCCAGCATTGTGGGCTGGGCATAAGATTCAATTCTTACAGGCAAGAAAAGACACAGATTTTACAAATGTATTTTTTCCTCGGTGTCTCCCAGCAGGGACCAGATCCCTGTTGTGCTGGATGCTGTGAAAATGTGCAGTGAAAGACACAAAGCACCATGAAATCCTCCCTCCAAAAGGAGGTAAAAAGAGAGGATTTCCACAGCAATGAGCCTGCATCCAGCTATTTTTGTGTCTGTGTTCCTTCAGCCATTTTGCTGTGGGAATTGCTGCAGTGTGGGACTCAGCATCCATGTCTCACCATGGAAGCCCCCTACTTGGACACAGCTGGTTATTCAGCCCCTTTTGGCATCTCTGGCATCAGAGGTGGAACACCATTAATGAGAGAATGCTTGAGTGAGAAAAATTATGATAAAAATCCTCTGCATGAAACGAGACTGCTGTGGATGGTCACAGGTTCTGCTCACTCTCCACAGAGAATATATAGTCCTCTGAAGTGAAATATTAGAAGTGAAAGATTTAGGGGGAAAAATACTTTAAATGGCCACGAAAGTATTAATCTGTTTCCTGGGAAAGGACTTCTTTACTTGGCTTCCTTAGAATGAGGCTAATGGGAAGAATCTGACATTAGAGGCAATGTTCTGGTACTGCAGAGTTCCTTTGCAGAGTTCCATTGCCTACTTTAATGACTGCATTTGCTCACCTAAAATGAATGTGGTGTGTCTAACCTCCAAGCCATGATGTGAGAAGTTATTTTTATTTGCCAGAGCTGACTGTGCAAAAGAGAGACAGTGATGACTGCTCTCCTCAGCTGTTCACTTTCTGTGACAGAACGGCCACTCACGGGCGAGAGTAAGAGATTTCTGATACCAGAGACAGCATTTCTGCATGCAAATGGCTTTGCTGACATGCCAGTGGAAATTCATTGTACTGTTAAGCCATAGCATGCAGGTACAAAGACACTGCTGCTTCAGGTGTTTTCCAAACAAACAAAAAAATAAAACAAAACAAAAAACCAACCAAACAAAAAAATGCTAAGTAGCTCCTTCAGAGACAAACAGGCCTTTCAGAGTAATCAGAATAAGCTCTAATTCATCTTTGGCAAAAGCTGTAGTGATATACACACTGTAATATTTAACTGCAAGAAGTGCTGAGTAAATACAAGTGATCGGGCTGAGGCATAGACTTGTGTCTATGCAAGGGTGCTTTAATTCCCTAAAAATAACAATATTCCCATAACATTCATTGTAGGCAATGGCTACAACTCACAAATATAGAGTTAAAAGTTCCTCCAGTGTGTACTGTGAACCATAAACATTCAATTATCACTAACTGGGTTTTACAAAGAGATTGCAGTGGGTTGAAGGCGCTGGGTAGAGGATGAAGAGCTGGTTTAAGGAACAATAGGAAAGTAGCCTCCATTATCTTCACAACACATCAAGTAAAGAGGCTCTTCCTGCACATCTGAAGAAGCAAGATCTCTTCTGCAGGCAAACACAGAAGTGTTTTGAAAAGGGGGGGTCACTGCACAATAGCCAAAACCTGAGTTTGTACCTCTGTTTACAGCTTTACTTGCAAAATCGTACAGCACAAAACTACTGAGCTCTGAGGCTTTTGATGGGAAAAAGCTTTCTCTGCTAGTTTTCCCAGAGGTGATTTATTCTGTAAAAACTGTACTGTGTAACACTTTCTGCCTTAAAAGCAACTCATGCAAAGTTAATTACATTGCACTATGTTTGTGGGAAAATACATTTTACTACAAGTTAATTTGAAGAAGAAAATATTATACAATGAATGCTATAAAAGAAACAGTTATGAGTTGCCTTAACAGCATTTATAAATCAAATCAGTGCACATCGATAACTTTAAAACCAACCTACATCAGGCTTTTGGAACAATATATGAGTAAAACAGTTTTTAAGTAGCCATGTATTTTTCATGAGTTGTGGGTGGCAAAAAAAAAAAGTGGGGTATTTGTTAAAAAGTACAAAAAGGAGTTATTTTCTTTCATTTATAAGACTTGATGATTTTTGCATGTTCTGCTGTTTTCTGTGACTTTTTGGAAGCAACACAGAAGCCAAAATCCTTAGATATTTTCTTGTGCTTTTTAATTGAAAATATTTCTTACAAGAAATCTTTGATTACATGCTTTCCTCTTTACACAGAGATAGGAATATCATCCATACAAATTAATAAATTGCAAGGGCAAAAAAGGGACTTTTGATCATCTAGGCTCACCTGCTGTTTTACACTGGCCAAAGAGATTTATTCCTTGCTAAATACTTCTTTCACTCATTGAGCAAGAACCCTGTATAACTCATGTTTCAACTACAGAATATTTTCACTCAAATGCAGTATTGCTGTGCACGGTAAAGAGCTGAAGATTGGCCCACAAGACACTCAACTCTTACTTAAAACTGTAAAAATATGGGCCAAATTTCTCGGCTAAATTTTCCTAATCATAGCTTTCAGTCACCAGCTCTTGTAAGGCCTTTGGCTGCTTGGGTAAGAACCTCTCTGCTCAGAGACATCCTCTACTGGGTCTGGCTCCCAGAGGAGCAGGGAAAAAAGGAAGGAAAACCCAGAATGCTGTCCTGCACACTGGCCCAGACACTTAAACTCTTGTCCTGTCATGGGCAGTGCATGGAGCAGGAGGCTGCTCATATCCCTCCTCAAAACTTCAGTGTCTAGTCCCAAGACACCTCCTCTGAGCATTTATGCACTGCTTTTAAGGACAGTTGTAGCCTAAGTTTAAACAGCTTTCCCTGCTTGGAGACTTCCTCTAGTTTGGGGACATTTTGTAGAAGAACAGGAAAAAAGAAAAACTGAAGCTGGTTTGTGATTCCTCCCCATCCCCCAGAATCAGAAGCCTCTTCTCCATGGCATATCACCTCAGAATTCATTTCATGAGCAAATCTGGGGAAAAGGGTCTCACACTGCTATTATTCATCTCTTGAATTCTTTAAGTAACTCACTGGAAAAGCTTGTGTGTACCAAACTACTTGCATAATGTCATATCCATAGCAGAAAAAGTCCCCAGAGCAGGTTGACAATATTACACAAAAGAAATTATAGTCCTGTAAAGAATTTCATGTTCACAGCATGAATGTGCAAAATAAAATGCCAGTGTTGCTGACTCATGTGAATTTAAATTTTTCAAGATTAGGTAATTTTCCTCCAAACCTAGCTCCTGCAGGAGATGGCTATGGGACCAAAATGTCTGGGATTTTTTTCTTCTGCTTCCTTTCAGTATTTTTTTCTGCCCTTCTTAGCTGTGGAAAAGCCTGCAATATGATGTGAAGGTGTTTTAAAGGCATAAAAAACATATATGTATTTATTATGTTCCTTGAAGTTAAAGACAATCAAGAACTTTTAATAAACACTTAATATATGTGACTGATCCTTCCCAAAAGTATAAGATAGGTAAGAAAACCAAAAGAAATAATGCTATTTTTCCTTTTTCAAATGGAGAATTAATTCAGAGACTTAGCTGTTCTGGATTCAAAACTTTGGATTGATGCCAACTGATTTCTCAAGATGACACAGCCAAACATACCTTTTGTAAATCCCTGATACTGCATTGAGGACAGGAAATTATTTCTTGCTAAATAACAGAATTAGTTAAATATACCATAACTTTGCAGACTTTATAGAGCTCCCACTAATCTGAATGGGATTCATAGGCACATGCAAGAATCTCAACCTCTTGGAAGCAGCTCTTGGTGTTTAACCACAGAGCATTAAGCATTGAATCACTCTGCCTGAGTTTCTGTTGGGTAGAGAAAGAAAAGGTTCTTCTCTCTTCCATTATAATACAATTTTCCCTTTAAAATTATTAATCTGAGAATATTATAAGTGCATTTGCTAAATCATAATATTCTGAACCACTAGCAATATGCAATAGGAGTCTACATACATACATTTTAAAATCTATGGTTCCTATTCTGTGCTGGCAAGCAGTAATTATGTGCATACTCGAGAAATTAATCATAACTTATCTCACAAACAGAAAACAGGCATTACAAGTGTCATGTTGGGTCTGTACCAGTTACATTCAATGAAACAGAAAATTATGCATAATCCAGTAGACCCGTCTCTTGTGTGCTCTAAAATACAACTGAAATTAAGTTCACCCATATTAAAAAGAGTTCATGGAAGCAAGGAACTCAACTTCTATAATTTCAAGGTTAACTTAGGAAGGGATTATCACAGCAAATAAAGGGGTTTAAACAGCCAGGTGTATGAGCATTCAGAAACCAAATTCTTTAAGCAGTCTTGGAAATCCCATCCTTGTACTATACATGTACCAATCCCTTGGTACTATACCAAAAATATTTTTTTTTTTAGAAGTCCATGCTGCTGGCCATGTCAAGTGAACATATATTCCTGTTTTTGAGCAGAGACTTACAGGTGTTATTGCTACGCTTTGTGTATTTTACCTCTGAATAAAGAGAACTCAGCAATCACCACTCATGTCTTTCTTTTCACCGCTACAGGGGCAGAGTCCATGGTCTGGAGGAGGTGTAGAAAATCTTCAGGGTCAGAAAAACTCAGAATAAAGATTAAAACACAGGTCTGGTATCATCCCAGCAGCATGCAGCATGGAAGGATTCCTGAAACACTGCTCTTTGTTTAATGCTGTTTCCACACTATACTTCTTTTAATGACATTATAGGAAAGCTCAAGATAAGAAACAGATTTGTCTTTCTTCTGATCAAAACTTAATTCTAAATGTATGTAGATAAGCTAACAACTGTGTAAATAACACTCAATAAAGTAATGTGAACACTACCCTCAGAATTGTTATTAGTAGTCATCCTATTTGTTTGACCATTATGTGCATGTTTCCTCTTTGGCTAGATTTTTAAAAATAGCAAAAAATATTTTGCCCCATTAAGAATGAACAAATGAGACATTTACCTTTAACTAGGCACACAAATTGCAAAAACACCCTTTAAATTACCAAGAACACTGGAAATCTGGTAGTATTCCACGCTGCATATTTCAAAGGCATTAAATTAAACATTTGAAGCAAACTTATCTACCTGTTCCAGCTGTTGCCACTGAGGATAAGGGATTTTTTTTTTTCCTAGAAAAACAGTAAGTCTCAAAACCCCACTAATTCACTGAAAAATTCCACAGGCTAGATAGATTAGGATTCCCGTTTTCATGACATGCAAGAGACCAACTCTTTCACTGAGGGACAATGAATTGCAAAAACTATGATGAAAATATTTAGGAAGCATTTTTTAGCTGTTATTCATGGGTTCATAAACTTTTGTCCTACCCAGTCCTCTCATCCTACTTATACAATTTGGCTGTAGTTTATATTTCTTTTTACTCACATTATTCAAACAAACAAACAAACCAAACAAAAACTCAAACCACTCTTTCAGCTAAGACCCTTTTTTAAAAACTAAACATTTTTTAAATTGCCAGATCCAATCTAATAAGCAGGGCACAGCTGAGTACATTTAGGTACCAGCAAGTACTCACATCATTGCTGAGATGTTAGGCTTTACAAATGTATTAAAAACAAGTATCCATTCTGAAACAAATGTTAAAGTATCATGCTCTGAAACAAGCACTGTAATCTAAGAGTCAAGAGTCAGCCTAAGGACATAACTCTGAGTCCACAGAGCTGCCAGGAGGTCTAAAACAAAACAGTGCAGGATTATTTGTAAAAATCCTGGAGAGGACCAGCCCAGGGTTGTGACTCACAAGGAATTGTTAGTGTGTCCCAGAGAAAGGAATGCAAGTACTTCTAGTACGGAATACGACCACAACACACTGAAAAGAGAGTCCCTGAACTCTGGCACCGTGTGAACCAGGCACAGCCCCAGCGTGCTGGGATAATGCACTCACCTTGTCCACAATGCAGATCTGCTTCTTGCTTTCCACATCAACAATCTCTACTTCAAAGTAGGTGATTTTTGAATGTTTGAGCGCTGGTGATGGTTTGATTTGGCCAGCAGAGAGCACCAGCTGAGATAAGTTGAGAAAAGAGCGTGAGTCATTGTGAGACATGGACAGAGCTCCTCCATGGGCTGCGAGATCCCGACTGTGTTCTGGAGTGCTGGGATTCTGCCTCTTGAGCATGGTGTGACCCAGCAGCAGCGATCGTCATATCAGCAGGGGACAGTTCCAGGGGAAAATGTTTCCTCCCTGCATCAGTTAAATACAGCCACAGACTGACGAGACACAAAAGGTCAAGTGGCATTCCATTTTAAGTGTACTCTCTTATTTAGCAGGAGTGAAAACAATGGCTCCGTAATCCACGTCTATATTTAATCTGCTGTCGTGATGTCCTGCTGCTGCTTTCTTATTTTCTTATTTTCATTTTATTTAAAACACCATTTGAAACAAGACATCCTGAAATTCCCTATTAGCAGATGGAATTCCATCTGCTATTAGATGCTGGAATTCCAGAGCCCCACAGGGGCAACCAGAAATGGATGTAGTAAATTCAACTATTACCTACTGAGACAGATGTTTAAAATGTCCATGTATGCACACATGTATAGGTATAAATATCACCTATTCTAGAATCATCATCATCAAATGTCATCTTATTCTAGAAATATCTAGCAACAAAATAGCATGAGTTCAGCAGCAAAATTTAGGGGATACTTGCAAATATCTGCTTGGGTTTAGATTATCTGTTATCTGAATCTATACTATGGATTTTCTGTTATTTAATGGGGTAGAGCTTTCCTTACAGTTCTGCCAGGAAAAAGTCTACTGAAGGAAAGGAAATTACAGCCTTAAAGGCATTCCTTCAGGACTTGGATCATTTTGCTATTTTCCTATTCTTTCCTGACAATTTTTACAATGCAAGTCTGCAACAAAACAAAAGCAGCTTTAACAGTATAAATAAAGACTACATAAAACAACAAATTTTCTCTGAAGCAGCTTCCCCAGGCCTTGTTTAAACTTCATTTCTCCATGTATGGCTTTTTAAGAGGATTTAACAGAACTAGGAGAACTTTTTCCATCCTGAAACTCTCCCTAAATTTCCCTGGGCTGCCTAGGATTATAGTGTTAGGAGGGCACCATGAGTTTCTGCAGACGGCTCTTTCCACAGAGTAAATTCTGAACACATTTCTCCATGGTAAAATCTCAGGAAAACTACCATCACTTTTACAAAAATCATATGGGTTTGTTACACTGAGGAAATTAATTAAGTGGAAAAAAGCTTCCACAAGGTAAAAGTCACTACACAACTAGCACCCTCTCTGGGATGCAGGGTGGAAAGAGAACAGGTCTGTTTTCTTTGATTCTGCTGTAACTTAGAGAAAATTTAATGGTTCTTTAGCCATTAGTTCTGACTAGAGGAGCTAACCCCAACTCATAGCTAAGATGCTTTATGCCCACATGACCTAATAAATTTTGAAGTAGCTTAGACAGAGAAATGTCCCCAGTGCTTGGTGATGCAGTCTTGCAGCCTTGGGATGCCTTCACTGGATTTGTTAATGGAAAGCCCTGACTGGTTGAATGCAGATGTACAAAAATATTGATCCCCTACTACAAAAAAAACAGGATTAGGTTTTGACTCTACTGAAATCAGTTAGTGTCTTGCCATTGGTGCAGAACATCTGAAGTGCAGTCAGCATCTAAAGGAAAAAAGCAGTTAGACTTGAACAAGATTATATCGCATCAAGGAAGTTCACCTGTCTCTGAGGTTAAAGGGAAGAGGTTCAAGGAACCATCACCTTGGTGGAGTCAATATAGCAAGCAGAAATTTTGGTATATGCTAGTCACAACAAGGGAGAATGACAAATTATTGTCTTACTGTATGGAGCTTCCTCAAAACTGCCACCTAAAGACCACAGAGCACACAGGTCTAAAATCCAAGTGTGAGATACACTCATTTGAACAGGCTACTCTAAAGAAACTGCACAAAATGCTGTACAAGGAGTGTGACAAACTGATATAATATCCTCTTTTAGCTGTAAGATTTATACGAATAAGTGTAATAGCACATATTAATAAATTTCTAAATTTATTTCAATTCAAAACCCATAAAGAATAATATTGATTTTCAAGGCTAATTTCTGTGTATATAAAGGAACTGGTGTTACAGTCATTACTGTGGGTTTATTTATAACTTTTAAAAGGATAGCATCTGAGCTGCTGCTGCTGAGGAAAAAAGCTTTTGATTTACTGCAGACATTTAAATGATCAGAATTTTATTACTGACCAATGGACTCTTGAATATCTGAACCAATTCCAGGAAAATGCTTACAAAAATATACTCCCATTTTTTTCAATCCAAGCTAATCATTTGTAATCTCAATATTTTGATGAACAAACATCTTTACAGACCCAAACACTTTGCTGACATAAATTAGGAGAGCTTCCCTAAAGGCAGCTGGCCCTTTCCTCCCTCTATTGTATTATGGATTTAGGATTAGACTGCAGCAAATATAATGGTTGCATATAAGTTGGATGAGAACTACTCTACCAAAAATAATCAGGGCTAGAGTTACCACTGATAACCCAAGCTCTAAAAGGGAGATGAACAAAAGCTGTGATGGTTTTGCCATTATTGTAACAAGTGCTGCACTTTCTCGTAACAGCATCAATGGGTTTGAATGTTCCACCTCAATGTGAAGTCATCCAGCCCATTCTGTGTGGAAATGCGTATAGAAGGGAAACATTAATTACTGGACAGAAGGCACATCTTTCCTTTCAGTGCAGTTATTGTACCTCATCTCAGTCCTCAGCACTAGAGACAGGCAGTCCCAGCACGTGGGGACAAGTGATCAGCCCCATGGTAAGATTTATTGATCTGCATTACACGGTTATAAGGTGCTGTCCCCAGAGCTGTGGCAGGGCTAGCAGCCAGCAGCCACCCTGCCCCTGACCTCAGCTTCATTCTGGGACTCTGAGAGGAGTCAAAGAGCACTCAGCAAGAATTAAATCATCTCTGACAGCTTCAACTCGCGCTGAAGTTCAGGCCATATATGGGGCTGGTATTTTTGAGGGGCCACAAGAATGGGCATCACTCCTCTCAAAGTGTGGCTCTGCCTCCTCTCCTCACTTGGCACTCAGCTCACATGAGCTGTTTTGGAGACAGGCAGGCACTTGGTTAAGCCATCCTTCCAAAAGACACATTTTGAGGAGGCAGAGAATGCCTGCCCCCAAATCACACAGCCTGGCCATCATCTCTGGTTAACAGAACTGCTGATATTTTCAGAAAAAAAGTTACACCTGTAAAGGGTTTTTTGCACCTTCCTAATCAATATCTAGAAACAAGCATCAGCCTGTGCTGGCCATGACAAAATAGGTAACAAACCACTGGTCAGAAGCTAAGACATACCATTCAGCTTCTGCTTATGACACTGATTTCCTGTGAGGTGTTAGGGAGCTGCCAGTTTTTCCTGCTTTTCCCTTCCGATTCCACACACCATCCCTGTGTGAGGCTCTCTTGCACTGTCCATTTTGCAGACAGCCTGGCACAAAGGGATTTCAAAATATCTCAGCTGGGGCTTTAAGGCTCTTCTGAAGTTCCTTTTCATCTCTGGTTGTGTTTTGAACTCCTCCTTCCCCAGCAAACTGGTCATCTCCTTCCAGCCTGCAGCATGTCAGCTGTTAAGTCAGCAGCAGAGGGTCACCTCTGCCAGTCCAGATGCTTGTCAGCAGCCCCTCACATGTCACTTTCTTATCCCTCACACTTTGAATGCTTGGTGGGACCAGGGTTATTCCTTTCCCACAGGCTTTGCCCCCACGACACAAAACTCCAGAGCTCCAGAGTATGTGGGGTTCATGGGGTTCAGAACCCCAGGCCATGAAATCTAAAACAAAGCAGATTGCCAAGGTCACACTCACCTTAATTTTTGGAGATTCTGCCATTTGTCTTGCTGGGGAGGGAGATCTGAACCAGTGTGTCCACATGGCCCTTGGCCTCACTCCTTTTTCAGCAGCTGTGCAGCCCTTACACCTGGTATTGCGCTCGATCTAACCACCACTGTTAACATCTCCTTATTTCAGTCTTAGATTTCATGTTTTCAGGGCCAGGAAGGAGTGTAGCTGTTCTTCCAGTGTCTTTTTATTGAGCTGTCCAAGGAAGGATTTAAGAACCTAATCTAATTTACTCATTTGGAAGAACACTGACAATAATTTGTGTGTCTGGCTCCTGGCTTCATCTGGCAGAGAGCTTAGGAATAGGTTTACCAGATTATCTGGGGAGTTACTGCATTTCAATGTTTGGTTTGATTCTGCTATCCATAACAAATAACAACTAGAATGTATTTCTGAAACATTGCAGAAATTTAAGCATGCATCAGGCTGCTAGGGGGGAAATGGCATTTCTTCGCCTGCACACACTTACCATAGAAGATTTAAATCAATTTAAAACATTCTATCTACATGCTGGCACACAAAAATGCCACTTAGAAGCAGCTCCACAGCATTCCTTCTAAAACTACTCAGGTAATTTAATTTTCTCTCCTGAAGCTAAGTCTCTTAAATGACAAGACAAAAGAAAGGCGCAGAAGGAGAGTGTCCTGACTCTAACACTAAACAATCCTAAAGCTATTTTAAATAATGCTGAAGTCAGGACTAAACCCCACCAGCTAGGGGACGCAGTAAAAGTGATTTACACCCATGTTTCTCCTCTTCAGCTACAGGGGCAGGGCTCCTCAGCAGAGGATGGCAACCTTTCTGACCCTGTGAACTGTTCAAAGGATCATCACATGGCCAAAAGGCACAAGCCTCAGGCCACATCCCTCAGAGGCTGTGGGAGGGGAGAGTCAAAGCAGCAGCTTCATATGATGTTCTGTCAGCTCTCTTTAAAATCTCACTGTAATAGCCTGGCTTTATCCTGCTGGCTTTGAAAACTGAAAGTATTGACTTTAAACTTTGGTGTGGGTGGTGCCAATTAGAAGCAAATTCACAGCGCAAATCAAATCCAAAGCCAGTGTTTGTTTTATCCCCCACAGACATCCACGAGAGACACGAGGGAAATAAGCAAAGTTGAAATACAGGATAGTAATTCTATCTGCAAGCAGTACACAGTGAAAACTTCCACCCCCAGCCCCTGTAGCACACAAACACATACCTACTTCTCTACCAAAATAAGTACAGCCTGATAAAGAACACAAATCTGACGATGGGCAGGATATATTTGTAACGG